GTTGAACGATCAGGTGCGCTAGTTGCTAGATAGCTGTTCTGTGACTTGTCCGTTGAAGTTCTTTTCAATATCGTTAAACTTTTTAACAATAATTATGGTGTACTCACTTGCAGAAAAAGTGCACAGAATCGAACTTTATTTTAGAAATAATGAACGTATCGGGTTGCGCACATATTCAACGCTATCCTGACAAACACCTTTATTTCGCCTTTATGGCAAAATTGTTCGCGAGTTAGTAACAAAATTTCGCGAAACTGGTTCCGTTATGAATAAAAAGAAGCAGAGGGAAAATCCTGTAGTAAATGAAGCTATGGAGGTATTTTGTATTGGGCCAAGTTGCCATGGATGTAGAGTGTAGAATGTTTAGGAGGGGAGTTAATCACCGCGACCTTATAGATCTGTTGTGTGTTCCCCTTTTTTGGGTTATAACGAGTTATAACTCATCATACAGTCTCAGGGCTTTAACAAAAGCCAGTATCTGAGGCGGCTCCACAGAGGCCAGCTCTCCATCCTCGACATCAGACGTACCAAGGTTCATGGCACGAATGGTCGTCGTCTCGGCGCACTCAGTGATAAGGTGTTCTGGTGTTTCCCCATTTTCCCCACAAAATCTGCATTCACCGTTGTTTCTCAGTTTCAGACCACTGAGGTGTTCGTTGAGGAGACAGTGTCGTGTTAGAAACCCCGTGACAATCCGAAGATTGTTTTTACTTAAATCAAGGAAAACCTTTGAATTTTCTCGGTCGTAAGTTCTGAGGAAATTTTTCGAGTGTCTTAGACCGTTGGAGGACACCCATTCCAAGTTACGGATGGAGTCTTCCAGATTCTTCAGTTCCGCTTTCAGTTGGTTCTCGTTTGGCAAACAGAACGGTTCCGGTCCAGTTAGTGGAGTGTTCGCTCATTTTCTAGCTAGATCATTTGCTTTTTCATTGCCTTCTATCCCTTGGTGAGCAGGCACCCAGAGTAGGAGGACTTTATTTTATTTGCCTAATTTGTTGAGCTTCTCTAGGCATTCTTTGACCAACTTCGAATTGAAAGTTGCCATGGATAGTACGCTAAGTACAAGAAAATTAGCCGATGAGACCGGCGTGAATCGTACAAGTGTCCAAAGGATATTAAAAAAAAACACAAGTTCCACCCGTACAAAATTCAGTTGGTACAAGAACTCAACGAAGACGATTTTGATCGTCGTTTGCAATTTTGTGGAACTATGAGTGAACGAGTGGCGAATGATAATAATTTCCTATTTAATGTGTGTTTTTCGGATGAGTGTACTTTCTTTTTGAACGGTGTAGTTAATCGGCACAATACTTATACTTACAACTACACTACACTTATAATCGTACACTGTCGGTACTGGGCTGAGGACAACCCCAGGGTTTTTCACGAGGTGCACACACAAAACCCTCAGAAATTAAACGTGTGGGCTGGTATTTTTGGAAATTCTATTGTGGGTCAGTTTAACGATATTGAGAAGAACTTCACCGCACAAGTCACAGAACAGCTATCTAGCAACTACGGCAGCTGATCGTTCAACCTTTTGTGGCAAGTGAAAAAATGCGTAAACATCTAGAAATAATAAGAAAAAAATAGCAAATTGGTCGAAGGAATTTATCCTTATCATTTACTCTGATAAATTTTTAAATAAACTTTTCAAATTTCAATCCTTCATATTTTGTCAATGACTCGACCGATTTTCAAAAACGAAGCGGAGAAATCTAGAGAATAGAAAGCTCTTTTCATTGCGGTACCACTTGACTCCCCTTTCCATTTGAAAAAAAGTTGGGGGATGACACCCCGCTTAGAGGGTTGAAGATTTTCCAATCATTTTTGGGGCAAAAGTTGTCCCCCTCACAAACAAGATTGACGTGTTTTTGGATTTTTTGAAATAAAAAATACCCTGGCCGTTATGCCTTGCGGAACGTTTTCGATGGGCCACCCTGTAAATACTATATACCAGCAAGTGGCTTTAATTTTACAAATTATTTAATTAACTACTATAAAATTGTTTTTAACGTTATTAATAGCTTACTGTCTTTTGTTGTTTTTAGAAAATTATATTACAGTGCAATTATTGATATTATTTTGAATATGGTAGACAATGTTTCAGTATTGAAACTAAAAGAATTTCGGACACGTATTGTCTTTATTTTGTCTTATTTATTTTGCTTACACAACGTTTTGTTCAGAAGTATCACTGACCGTTATCAAGTGGGAACTCACACCTGATAACGTATAAGTGTGAATAATTGAGTTCATACTTGATAACAGTTAGTGATACTTCTGACCGAAACGTTGTGTAAGCAAAATAAATAAAGGCTATTGATACTATAATCCTGAAATACTAAAACACTAAATAAGTTTATTAATTTTTAAATAAGCTATTAAAGCTTATTTACCTCACAACCTAAACATTGTTCATTTTTATATTAAGCTAAAGTGGTATTTAACAGCCCTTTTTTTCTGCTATAGAAATTTGTTTTAAGAGTCACAATAGTATATATTCATTTTAAAATAAATCGTATGGGTTTGGAAATGAAAAAAAGCCAGAGACCACAAAAACATACTGCAAGAACCGACTGTTTGGGAAAATGAGGGCTTAACTGCTAAGGCGAGATCGTTTTTGAAATCATTATCGTTAGTATGGCCATTATGGAATAAAAAAAATGCGAAAACATAAGATTTCTCACGGTCTAAATAGAATAAGGAGGTTTTTCTGAAACTAATTAGGTCCTCCTGCAAAATAATATTCGGAAGTAAACAGAAATAAACTTATAGTTGATATGCTAGTTTCATTTTTAAATTATTCTAAAATATTTAAGCATTACTCTGAAAAATGACGAAAATTATTAGGTAAAGATTTAAACTACACCCAGTTAACTTATTTTTTTGTAAAAATATGCAAATTGCAGAAAAGTTTAAAATAATACATGTAAGATGCAAAATTTTGAATACCACATTTTCTTTATTTTTTTCAAATTGAGTATCGAATAAGTTATATCGTGTTTTGAAAAAAAAATCCGTATTCATAAATGCTAAACAGAATTAATAACATAAACACAACTATATAACATGTCTGCGTGTCAAACGAGCTGTAGTCAAATTGTGCTCATGTTCCCAGTAAGAAAGTTTTGGAGTAGTTTAGATTTCTTATAATTTTCTATATGGAAGAACTCAACACACTACCTCAGTATAACAGCCTCGATGTATTGGATATCCCAATAACAGAACAGGAAATAAAGGACTCCATAAAACAGCTTAAAAATAACAAATCAGGTGGCTGTGACGCGATTCCGGCGGAAATCTATAAGTGTGCAAGTAAAGAACTTATTCCATCTTAAAGCTCTCTTCGATCTCATATGGGAAAGTGGAGAGGTACCTCAGGACTTTTGCAACGCGAATATAGTGAATATATTTAAGAACAAAGGACCTGCATCAGACTGCGGAAACTACCGGAGAATTTCACTACTGGCTATCGGAGGAAAAATTCTTACAAAATATATGTCAAACCGCCTGCACCCACATATAGAAAAAAATCTTCCCAGAATCCCAAACGGATTTTCGCCCCAACCGCGGTACCGTCGATTCCATATTCTCCATCCGCCAAGTACAGGAAAAAGTAAAAGAGTAACCTAACCTAACCAAATCAAACAAAAGCTTTCGACTCTGTGAACAGAGATGCGCTTTGGGCAATTAGGAAAAAGTTCGGAGTACCCGACAAATTTCTGTCAGCGTGTAAAAGCCTCCATCACAACAACAAGTCAAGAGTTTCACATCATGGATCACTGAGCGAGCCCTTTATAATAAACACAGGAGTTAGGCAGGGATTTGTCTTAGCGCCTCTCCTATTCAACATATTCATGGTAGCGCTCTCCATTATAGTGGACAGCAAACTGCAGGAGAGAGGTTTGGGCATTAGATACAGATACGACAGGCGGTCTGTTCAACATAAAAAGACGCAGGGCAAAAACACGTACAAAATTTATCACAGAACTTCAATACGCTGATCTAGTTGACTGTTCTATTTGCAACTACGTTACAGCAATTGCAAGAAATGTTGAACACATATACCTGGGCATCGATGATGGGCGTCAATAAAACCTGGTCGATGATACCTGCGCCTTGATAAAACTAAAATAATGTGCACTCCCCCGGAAGATCACTACAAGGCTATAAAAATCGGAGAAGACTAAATCGATAAAACTAAAATAATGTGCACTCCCCCAGAAGATCACTACATTGCTATAAAAATCAGAGAAGAACTATTGGAATATGAAGCGGAATTCAATTACCTAGGCAGTTTGATTTCGGAAAAGGCCAATATCGACTGTGAAATTCAGCACAGGAATGCCTCAAGAGAATTCTGGAAATTAAAAGACAGGGTTTTTTATAATCATGACTTAAGCACAAAACAAAACTTGCAGTACCGAGCACTAATAATTCCCACCATGTGATATGGAAGCGAAACCTGGGTGTCGGACCGCCGATACACGAACGCATTAAATAAGTTGCAACAGAGATCTTAAACAAGTCTTAAAAATAAAATGGTTCCATCATGTCTCAAACGTATCGGTTCTTGAAAAAGCTAACTGCGAGAGTATTGAAGTCATGATTACCAAATCATCAGTAACGATCGAAAAATTGGTAAGGACAGCACACATGTTTATCAAAAATATTGATATTTTAATAAAAATTTTGTGAAAGTGACTCTAATTATTAAAAACTAGTTTATTATTTTTTTTATTATTTTACGCGTATAATACTGTTTGTTACTCGTAAAAAAATATTTTAACATGTATAAAACTATTTGTTGCACGTAAAAAACTATTTTTTATGTGTAAAAACTATCTGTTGCACGTAAAAAACTATTTGTTACATGTAAAAAACTATTTCTTACACGCAAAAAACTATTTTTTTAATTTATTACTTTTTCAACTTAAATGTCGTTAGATATTCGAAATTTTAATATTTGCTAATAAAAGATACTTTATTAAAATTACCTTTGCAAGTGCAACCGCTGGAAACGTATCCCATGCCAGTTCATGATCTTCTCCAGTTTTGCCTAATCTTTGACCTCTTAGTATACGAGCTGCTGTTGTCGTAGCCACACCCATTCCATCACCGACAAATAGAATGACATTTTTTGCATGCGGCCTTCGGTCAGTAGCATACTGTAATCGTTTGCGTAGAGCTATTCGTGCCTGTTCATACCAGTATTCTCGATCTAAAAAAAAAGAATAAAAATGAACTAGCGATAAGAGGAAACATGTTTAATTGATATTTAATAAAACTTTCATCACATTATATTTAATATTTTTGATCTACTAAGATAAAATTGTCTATTAAAAAAACAAATTAAATCTGGAGATCTTATACATATAAAAAACTGACGATATACAGTGTGTCCCAGGCTGAGCGTGTATTAGAATTTCTAGAGAACTACAATATCTATATCGGAGATTTTTTGCATAGCATTGTTTCACAACGAGATTTATCGATTAAAAATATATTCAATATGCTTATTTTCAAATATATTCAATATGCAACTTTCTTATTTTAAACCGATACCTCCTTTTTTATTATATGTATATTTAAATTTTCTGTAAAATTTTATGAATTTTCATATCAAACACTCCATATCTAACATTAACCGTTTTTAAGAAAAAGAAATATTTAAAATTTTTGGAGAAAAAAAACTACCTGTCAAAAGAAATTTTATAGCCTAAACGTCAAATTTGGTGATTACCACAGCCACTGTGGCATAAAGAGAAAACATGTTAAAGATATATCTATTTCAACCAACAATTAAATTGTTCAAATGTCAAATAATATTGGCCGTAGCTGTCATGGAATTGAACAATTAAAAAATTATCATAAATCATTTTTTCAAATGGAATCCCCATTTTTTTATTCTGCTAGTGAAAAGGGTTCAATTCGTTACATTTTGATTATACATGTTCCCGTACATAAAACAAATTGTTATTAAGTTAGTTAATATTTAGTTTTAAAAACTTTAAACGTCAAGTGATGTCAAATGATATATCTGGCGATATCATATTGTGACATTTAAAAAATCAATATGTCATCGATTGTATTTCCAAGCCAACTTTGCGCCATTTTTTTCGATTATACGGTATATTATTAAAAATATCCACTATTAGATATTTCTAAAGTGCGAATATATTGCAATATATTTTTATAAATACACTTTATAAAGTTTTACGGAGCAGTATTTATAATATATGAAATTCGAATAATTAGTTTTCAGATCGAAGGAAATAAATTGTCTGATTGTTTGATACTTAATGTCAACGGAAGCTAGAGAAAATCAGAAAAAAATATATTATGCAATAATACTAAAACTAAAATAACTTAAAAATTATTTATTTTATGTATATGAACATGTATAATCAAAAAGTATGAAAGTATGAATAAATGATTTTTGATCATACTTTAATCGCTCAATTTCTTGACAGCGACGGCCAATACTATTTGACATTAGAATAATTTAATTTTTGAAATAGATAGCCACATGTTTGTCTTCTCTTTATGTCACAGTGGCTGTAGTTATCACAATCTTCATATCACAGAGTTTGAATTTGATCACAACTTTTTTTGACAGGCAGTTTTTTCCATTTTAGATACTTTTTTTTTCTCAGAAAGAATAATATGTATAGAGTGTTTTATATCAAAAATCATAAAATTTTACAGAGAATTTAAGTATGTAATAAAAAATGGGGGTACCCATTTGAAATAAGTAAGTTATTGTCACCTACCGGTATTCCCGGAAGTGCCGCCATATTGAAAATATTTTTAATCGATAGATCTCGCTGTGAAAATGTGCAAAAAAATGCCAATATAGATATTAGTTAGTTCTCTAAGAACCTCTAATGCACGCTCAGCCTGGGACACCCTGTACATCAAAAGTGGTCCCCTACAGTTTTCAGAAGACAGAATGCTGTTAGACGAAAATATACCATGTTCTACCAAAACACATCATGTAGTAACAAATGAAGTAGAAAATGTTGAAATGAAAATTCACATGCCTTTCATTAACTTCCAAAATTTCTATGTAAATGTATTTCGTTTGTATATTTGTATTAGATTAGGCGTCAAGTTGGGCAAAACCCGTTTTATCCCAAAAACATTGTTTCCAGATGTGTTTATCCAGTTTTTATAGCGTCCTTCGTCGCTGGTATAAAAATATTCTGGTAGTAAGTTACTTTCTGGCATGGCTCTGTCTATTCCTTGATTCCAGAAAAGTTTAGGTCGTCCTCGTTTACGTCTGTCTGTAAGTGTCCACTGCCACACTTGCTTTGATATTCCCTCACTCTGCTTGGTAGTTCTGTCTAAACGGGAGATTCGGGCTGATGTTCACCAGAAGTCCATTTCGGTCGACAACAACTTCTTTTTATGTCTTTCGTATAGCTGCCATACCTGAGAGCCATATAACATTTCTGCTTTTCAGGATAGCGTTATAGATCAGTTTTTCTGTGATCCGAGATATCCCTAGACCAAAGCACCGAGTTTAGCGCTCCAATCACCTTTCTGCCTTTACCAATCCGTTCTGTAATTTTCTTTTCGAATCTCCCTTTGCTTGCGATTTTTACCCTTAAATACATATATTTCTTCGCAGGCTTCCATTTTTATATTGTTATCTAATAAGGTCTCCCAACTCGCCACCAACACACATGTATAATATCTTTTTCTTGTTTAGTTCCAGTCTCCATTTTTCGTATTCTTTTCTAGTCATATATTCTAGATTCTCGTTGTCTTAGGTCATTAATATCTGGTCATCGGCGAGATGGCAGAGTATACAGAGAAAGGTTGTCATTAATAGATATTCCCATCTGAGAACACTTCTTGCGCCAGTGCTTAAAAGCTTTTGATAGGTAGGTTTTAAATAAAGTTGAGGACGGGCAACACCCCTGTTTTATACCTTTTGTTATTGGAATACTTCAGATAGAGTTAGGCCTATTTTAATTTTTGCGGAACAATTGCAGTAAAGTTGCTGTACTGCTTTTATTAGAGTTATATTTATTGGGCTTTTTTCGAGAACTTCCCATAGTTTCTTAATTGGTAGCGTATCATAAGCGTTACTAAGGTCCACAAACAGGAGGTGAATTTGGTCGTTATTTGTTGCCGTCTTTTTCTCAATTAGCGAGTTATTGGAAAGATATTATCAATACATGAGCGGCCTGCCATAAACCCGGCTTGTTCTTCAATCTCATGGGGGCTAAATTTATCTTCTATTAGGGTTTAAGTATTTTTCGTACAATCTGCTAAGAGTGTCAGATACTGTTCCAGAGTCAAATACTGCTTCCAGATAATAAAAAGAGTTTTAGCAAAAATTTGAAGAGCTATTTTACAAAAAACGTGTCCAAAAATATTTTCAAGGAGAAACAACACAAAAATAATTTATTATAATCCAAAATAATTCAATAAATACAAAGCAAATATAAGTGAAGAAGGATTTTGCTGCAGTAAAGTAATTTGTAGTAAATTTTATATAGAAATAGGCCATTTTTGCTGCAGTTTAGAACTATATATTTGTAGATTTCAGGGTCCACTAGTGACTATATATGTCATCAGGCCATTTTTTAGTGGATAAGGCGCGTTTTGCAACTTGACGTCTCATATATTTTCGTTTTTTTTTAAATCATACATCATAACTGACAGTGGCAATACAACATTATGACCATTACAATACTTTAACAATCCCTTTTTTCAGTTAAAATTATAATTTTGTCAAATTTTGAGGTTATTGTCTTAGAGGTTTGAAAGCACAGTAATACGTTTTATCAATTAAATATCAAATTCCACTCTTTACGTTCCTTCCTAAAGACCAATTTGGTAGTTATTACCTATCTAGAGAATGGCTAAATATAGTACAGGAGGGATAGCGTTGGAATGAGATCGTAAAATTCTTGAAGTTTTCCTTGCAATTCCCACAATAAATATACAAAAAAAATTGTTTTTAAAAACTTGTCATTACCTTAGCTCAATTTGTTAGAGTATTGTGATAAAGTTTTATTTGTAATGAAATATTATAATTTAATAAACTTAAGCAACGTTGCAGGTACATACATGTCCAACTTGACAAAACATAACTCGTCAGGATATTATAGATACTTTTTAAGTATGGCAAATGCTTCCTGATTGTAATTAAAATCTGTAAAAACACTATATTAGCAATAGTAAGAATACTTCCATACCTAAAAAAACTTGATTTGTTTGTAGATTTGTTTATAACTTCATCTGATAGGGAAATTTGTTTCAATTTTTTTTTTAAAAATAGGTCCTTTCATAATTGAAAACAGTTATCTAAATAAGCACAGTGAATGGTTAGAAATTTTCTCTACAGAGAAGGACGATGGAATAATAAGTGATACCACTTTACTCTACCAAAACACATAATATATTTATAAATATAATAGAAAAGAAAATAATAAAGCAAATTAAATTGGAACATTTGAAAAATCATAAATATTTCATTACTAAACTTTTGACAGTATTTAATATATTTTATGTTAAAGTATAAATTAATATTAACAAAACAGATGCACGTGACATTTTGGCCCTTATACCTTTCAAAGTCCCACTCTGACGAAACCGTTTTTCATTAATGATGAACACGTTAGCTATCAGCACTTACAAATCCCCTTTGCGGCTATCTTTCGCTTGGCCCATCTATTATTTGCTCTAGGAAATCTAGATAGGCCTATAATGTTTTACTAGAAAAAAAGAATCTTAAAAATGGAAATATTTATTCTTTTTGTAAAATTCCACCGGATTTAAAATTGATGGACACTAAACATATCAGTACCACTATCGGGTGTTTGCCAAATGTGGCTTTTCCGTATAACATTTTTATTTTTAGCCGACCATACCAACAGGTATGGTAGACTATTACGATCGGCAAAAAAAAATTAATTTCACTCAAAATTATTTATTTGAGTCATAAATGACCTAAATACAAAATATTTTCATGGTGTCTGTCTGTCTGTCTGTCCGTCTGTAACACGATAACTCAAAAACCGCTAAACCGATTTTAACCAAATTTAGCACAAAAATACTGTGGCACCCGAGAATCTGGCCATTAGTTTTGGTAGTGGTGTTGGTAAGGGGTATGGGAGAGAGTTAAAAATTTAAAAAAATCGTAACTCCAAAATTACAGTAGCTAGCGAAACGCGGTTTTAAATTTTAGATTAGGAATAATATTTG